GGCCTCCTCGTACATGGCCTCCAATTGTTTCTTGGAGAGCAGGGCCGTCAGCTCCGCCAAGAGGCTGTCCTTTTCCAGCTGGTTTCTGAGTCTCCACACCATGAAGAACTGGGCGTTGACCCTGACGGCATTGCTGATCAAGCGCAACTTCTGGGTGCTGACCCAAGTGGAAATCTGAAAATGGCGGCCCCTGACGAACAAGGTGTCAAGTGCTGAGTCGCCGCTTCTCTTGTGCAGGTTGGGGCTATCTGTGAAGTCGTCAATCAAAATCAAGATCTGGTACAGCTGGACCATCTTCATTTGCTTGGGCACCTGGGTTATCTTGCGCTGCTGGTCTATGATGCGCCTCAGGGCCGCCTCGTCCCAGTTCTCGAAGTAGACCTGCTCCCGGTCGGTGTTCACCTTCATGGTTTCTTCGATGTACTGCTTGACCGGCCTCCAGCCATCGTCCACGTTTATGCTTGGCGAAAACAGGTAGATGCGCTCAAAGCAGCCGCGGTACTGTTCGAGAATCATGGAGATCAGGGCCACCGTCTTGCCCGACTTGCTGGGTCCCAGCAGAATCCCCGTCGAGGGTAGTTGGGGCACCACTGGGTCGTTTGGTTGCTTGCTCTTGTAGTCTGGGGTCGGGAAGACCTTGATCTTGCCCATCTTTAATTAAAGTCAGTTCTGCGGATGCACGGAGGCGTCGTCGGAGCCGGAGCTTTCCCCGGAGTCGGCGTCCGAGTCCGTGTCCGTGTCCAGTGGTATATCTCGCGCGATGGCTGCCAGGGCCTGTTCGAAGCCGGGCAGGTGCGAGAGACCAGACAGAACCTCGTACGCAGTGAGGTACGTGGCCGCGTTGTCCCGCATTCTACCGGCAATGTTTCTCTTTGCGTCTTGGATGAGCGCGTCGCAGACGAAGCACCAGTCGAAGACGCAAAGCTGCCAGTCTGGGCGCGGGGAGCGAATATAATCGAAACGGTGTCGGATGAGCTCCCGAGCTTGGCGGCAGGATGTTGAAAGGTAGGTCCACGAGAGAAGCTCTTCGCAATAGACATCCAGGAGCTCCTTCTGTTTGGAGATTTTCAGTCTCCCGAAGCACTTATAGATGTCGACCGGGAATTTAAGCTCGCGCGGCTCAGATGCCACTGTGAAGGTCTCCCTGGGCCAGTGCTCACAGAAAATGCTCCAGACTCTCGCCATTGGTGCCGGAACTGCGTGCGCAAGCTGGCGGGTTCGGCGGTCTTTTTTCCTATGGCACGGGCCAGAAAAAAGGGTTCGTTGGTGGATTTGCGATAAAGAGGGCGCTCCAAAATCGCACCTTGCATGGGGCCGCCGCGCAACGTTGCGTACCAGGTCGTTCTTTTTGAGAGGGGACACGGCCTATCCCGACTTGAGTGCTCGGCGCCGAAAACAAAAGGGCAGTTTGCGAAAATAATGGAGAGCGCGCCAAAAAGGGCACCTTCCCTAGGCCGCCGTGCAACGTTGCGTACCAGGTCGTTCTTTTTGAGAGGGTACACGGCCTTTCTTTCGACTTGAGTGCTCGGCGCCGAAACTGAAGGCAGCGTTCTGTTCCCCAGAAAAGCTGCCGAAAAAAAGGGCAGCATTCCGTTCCCGGCTAAGCGTGCCTTTTGTGGAATTTTGGTCTCAAAAATGGAGCGCGATTGGCCCGCAACTGGTCCGCCATTGGCCCTCAATTGGCCCAAAAATATTGCCCACAACAGACCCAAACAATAGACAAAACATTTGGTTATGCATGGTTCACGATTTTTCATCCTTGAGCTTGAATTTAGGATGTGTTTTTAGTTTGCTTGAGTCTTTCTTGGAATTTCTATGATTTTGTGTTGCTTGTGAGCATGAATAGCTGCGATTTTCAATGATCGTTGTTTGACATGTCAGTTTTTTTTGGAGAGCTTGATGTTAGCCGGCTGGGTTCGTCGTTTTTTTTGTGCTGACAAATCAACCGCGTTGTCTTGAGCGTCATGGGTTCTTACACCAAGCCACGGCTCCCAAGGCGCAACAGGGAGCCGACACACACAGGGTTGGCAGGTGGTCCAGGTTCATTCGTTGTTGCTCGCATGGAAAGATTCGCTGCTTGAGCTCGCCTCCTTTGCAACCTTGCTGTGCAGTGCTTTGGTTCAAAGCCAATGAAGCGTCCCAGTTCCTTGCGGTCGGAGGACGGCATCAATAAACGTTTTTTTTGAAGGTTGGGGTGAAGGGAGGCGGTTTCGAACCTTGCATCAGGCTTCCAGGTTTGCTGCTGAGTGAACTCACGGAGGTTAAGCTTGAGAAGCATGGACATGATTTACTTTTGTTTGCAT